ATGGAAAGGGCTTCAGGTTCAAGCAGGAGTAGTAATAATAGTAGTAGTAGTAGTAGTAGCAGAAGTAGTAGTAGTAGTAGTAGTAGTAGTAGTAGTAGTAGCAGTAGTAGTAGTAGTAGTAGCAGTCGTCGTGGTGGTGGTGCTGGTGGTGGGGGGCTACACAAGTGTGTGTGTGTGTGTGCCATTGTGTGCATGTGCAAACTGTGACACATCTACCGGCCGAGAAAGCAAGCGCTTCTCAGACGCCGATGCCCTCAGGCGTCGCGGATCCTTATGTTGGGTCTGTTGAGGTCATGGACACCCTGGCCAGGGCGCATATTCGCAAAGGAGAAGCCAAAGAAGGCCAAGTGTTGCAGTCGTGCATTGTCTGGTGTGCTGGTGTTGGCTCGTTTCACTCGTGGAGGGCTTCGTGTGGCGGAGGACTTCCTGGCCGCTGCCAAGAAGGTCAACGAACCGTAAATTGATTCGCAAATAGCAGTGTGACACAGAGCTCAATGGCTTGGAGAGGGGTTCTGCCTCTGGTGTCGAGAGCCTTGGCACTGGGAGCATCACAAGCAAAGATTTGCACCGCAAACATCCGCCCGTCGTTCGAAAAGGCGTCGTACTGTCCCAGAATGAGGGGCTGGCCGAAGCACAACTTTGGAGCGACGACTGGGGAATGCTCGGCAGCAGCGAACAGTCTAAAGACTGTAAAGGGTGTGGCGTGCCGGTGTGGTGCACATGCACAGCTATGTGCATGTCTGCGAAAGTCACGAATTGTTTCGCACAGACTACTGTCTGGACTTGGAGCAAGGTTTGCGTGCTGGCACAATCCATAGGACAACCCTGAATCCAACGAATGACAACTGCCCAGGGCCCCTGACGGTGTGCTGCATGCCCTCTGGAGCGACCTTCTGGAGTGTCTAAGCAAAGTAGAGCGGCTTGTCTCGCATGTCATGGCCAGTGTTTGTTGAATCAATGTTTGCTAGCCGTTTGAGCGTGGCCTGCTATGTCATGGTCACTGCCGGATACCACACCTGCTTCGGCCGTCGTGTTCTCTACTCTACCATCGCTACACGCTCGAAGGCACGAACAGTCGCAATCCACCCGGCAACGTTCGAACGACATCAGTTCAGCTCGTACGAGGTTGGTGCATGGCCAATTATCAGATAGCCCAGAACACCCGCGTTGTTCCAGCGTAACACCATCGGCGCAGGGGCTCGGAAGGGCCACGCCATTTTTCGCGTCACTGGCTCCCAGAACCAGAGTTCGAGTGACCTCCACCATCCTCCACCTCGACCCATCGTGTCCTGAAACGGGGTGCTGTTTCATGTCGGCTTCCGACATCTTCCGACCTGCAGGGAGCGCTATCCTGCGTTAGTAAGTTGTGGCGGAATCGGCAGGCCAGAGACAAACCGGCGGAGGCTGGCCCATGCTGACGCTTTCTGGTTTGTGGACATAAAGTGGGCTTCAGCATTCTGCAGCAGCTCTTCTTGCCCTGTGTCGAGAAAGGCCAATGCTCTGCTGGTCTCTTCGAGTGCTCTTGCAAGCGACGGTCGCCTGAGTGAAGCGCTTCGTCCGCGCCTCTCGCGATGTAGTGAGAGTCGACATCATGAGACGACATGGGGCGATGGAAGAAGAGGTTCGCTGTTCGTGAGGCTCAGCAGAGGCGGCTCGATCTCTGTATCGAGACCTGGGCAACTTGGCTGCACTGGAACTGCCAGATGACAGCCTACGCCTGCGGTGCAGCAGAACGAGACTGAAGCGATAGGTCAAACAGGACAAACACAGAAGGTTTGGCTTCAGCAAGCCCAAGCCATGCATGACAGCTTACATCCTGCAGTGTTTCGATATTTGCGCAAAAATTTGTGCTTCATTGGCGGCCATGTCAAAACTGCTTCCTGTCCTCAGCGTAAGCTTGCAGTTGCAGTATGTTGCAGTTAAGGCCATGCAGAGGGGCTCCAAGACTCCGAGCGTTTCCTCGGGGTTGTGCGAGATGCCCTGAAGGAGAGGCATTTCGTTTGGTTTCCCTCAGACGGAAGAGGAACTTGCATGTCTGCTTTTTTGTAGCTGAAGCTGGCGCTAGTTTTTCCGACACGAGCGAGGTTTATTTGTGGGCAGGAGATCGGCCATCGTGTCGGCAGCCATGGCAACGGCTACAGTGCCAACAGCAATGTCGGTGCTCCACAACGAGGCGCAACGAGTGGCTGGAGACATCTAGAGCGCGGTTCCTGGACAGCAGGACCTTCCAAGTTTGGATTCCGCCCTGCCCCGGCCGAAGAGCCGTCGACTCGAACAGAGAGCGCTTGGGAGAGGAGGGCATGCTTTCATAGGTCCAAGAATACCACCTGGCCCATTTTGGCCCAAGGCCAAAGGAGGAGAAGTCTCCGGGAAGTCTCATCACCGGAGAGCGCCGGATGCCGAGCTCAGCCCCGCTGTGTCGGATCCTTTTCGCTGTCGCTTCCGAGGCCGTGGGGTTGCCAATGCTCAAGTGGTGAATCCTACACCACTTTACAACCGCAAGGCGCAAAGAGTAACTCTGTGTGCCGCTCCCCAAGCATTGACAGCTCCATGTGGGGAGGCATTCCCATGGACTCCGCAGCAAGCAGACAAGGTTCTGAATGTTCTTGCAGGATGGTTTGCGGATGGTTCTTAAGCCCGGCTCCGCAGGTGTCCACCCCAGCGACAGCAAAGCCAATGACTGGGATCTAGCCGCGACCAGACGAGACTTGTCCACCTCGGTGGCTGATGATTTTGAATGTTAGGCCTTAGGAAAGTAGGACAGCGTAGGACTGTAGGATTAGGCGCTGCGGCGCTGTAGTTCGGAGCTGAGTTTGCGCAAAACTCTGCCACTAGTGCTGGTCGACTGCCTGCAGCCGGCGCAGATAACAAGGAGCGGACGAGCGCATCGGCTGTATTCTGATGGCAGTCGGATCGTCGATTCTCATATGTTCTGATGGTGCGCACAGAAAACTTGAAGGATCCTTCAGGATCGTCAAGTATGCTCAAGGCTGGATGAACAACCCTTCCCTGCCGCTTTCATGAGATTGCGAGACGGACCGCTGCTATGATCGGACCGACTTGACGAAGGACGTTTTTTTGTTAGGATGTATCGGTATCACTGCTGCAAGTGCTGGCTGCTGTGCATTTGCTTGAAGAGGAAAGAGGCACGGGTGCTTGGTCGGTCAGTCCCCGTCAGCATAGAATTGCACCGGCCATAAACATGCCCGGATGGATTGCTGCACATTTTCCGCTGTCGCGGTGGAAAGCGCTGTGCATATATAAGGTATATAAGGCACCAGCTCCAAGCTGCTAGTGAGTCTGTCAGGACATGTGGCATGCGCTTCGGACGGCCTTGCTCCTATCTGGTTGGGCCCTCACAGAACGATCTGCAATTGAATGACGTGCGGGCATGAGAAGCTGAGCCCCACAGTTGCAAAGGTTCGGCAGCACATGTCCATGACAACGGTGCGACGACAGTGAGTCTGGGGTTGCATGCCGGTCCATTCCAAAATGGGATGTCTGGAGAATGCCCCAGCTTGCACTTGCCGGGGTCTCATATAGCCTTATTGGCGACGGCTACTTGCAGATTTGGCGCTTCTTCGAGCGGCGATGCAGATGCCAAGGCTGCAGACAACTATGTCGGCCAGAAGAGCTCCGGAGGCATGAGGCTGTCGTAGTATGAATTGAAGACCGAAGATGGCCAAAGAAGGTCCCCGGGTCCCAGCTCCAACAGGACACGGAGATCCGCAGGATCCGACAAAAGCCGAAATACCACTGCCGCCGTCAAGTAGGCGGAGAAGCAAGCTTGGGCTTCTTGTGTAGCTCAGAGGAGTGATTTGCAGCTTCGCCTGGAGAATTCCCAGCTGAAAGGAGCGTCTGCCCCTGAGTGGATGCGAAAATCCTCATACATGAATGTAGGACTGCCCGGCGAAGCTTGTCTCCGCATGTTGCCGGATGTGCCACGTTCAAGTGAGGCTAGAAAGATCAATTCTTCAGCTGTCTGTGACACTTCGAGGGAGGCGCCCTGGTCGTGTCTGCCGCTACTGACCCGGTTTCATGAGGACATCGACCTAGGCATTTAGGCAAACGATGTATGCAGAAGCGCATATTGCATCAGAGGCTCCTGACACCTGCGCAGGTATCACAGATGTTGTATGAGTCCGGCGCTGCCTCTTGAGCTTTTGGACCCCGAACGAAATTGAACATGATACAAGCTGATTGACCATTCGTTTTCGACCCATCTCTTTGGAAACCGAAGCTGAGCGCAAGAACTGCGTCATCTTCGCAGGCGCAGCAGCTTCAGTTTGCATGGCGTCGACTTTGGGAGCGCCTGGCGAGCCTTTTCAGAGCCATCGCAGGTTGTAGCCCCGCTTTGCCTGCCAGTGAGCCATTGCCGATGACGCTTCTAGCAAGGACCCTCAGCAAAGTCTTGGAAGCTGCCGTTGAGACTTCCTCGCGCCACAGCCCATTAGGTCACTGCAATTCTGCTGTGCATCTACGGCTTGATCTACCTGGTGCACCTCGTTGTCCCCGGCTCAACCTTGTTGCATCGTGTTGCATCCATTCACCGTTGCTGGCATGGGTTTGTCTTCAAGGCTTTCTTCGGGCGCAGGAATCGCATCAAGGCAAGCAACCGTCGCAGGCGACACGTCGAAGGCAGGGCTGCAAAGGCTGCAAAACAGGCATGATCGGCCAATGCAAAACTGCAACGACGTGCAGCCCCGGAGCGTCTTCCTGATCTCTCCGAGTGCAAGGAGGAGATGACTGCGAGGTGCCGCTCTCAGTTCCAGCCGTCACCACTGGGCCATGCAGTGGTGCACTGGCCAAGGTTTTGCTGCAACACGACACATAAGACAGCCTAAGGCTTAGCTGAAGACTCCAGTATTTCCAGTATCTATGTCCGAACATGTCCGAACACAGAATTCACCAAGGTTGTGCGACTGTTCCTGATCGTTATAGTGGCAACTGCAGGCGAGGAGCGAAGGTTTTAGCGGCCAAGCTCGCATGCAGCACGGCAACACGATATATATATATATATATGTATGTATATATATATATATATATTTTTTTTTTTAATATTATACATTTTTACACACACACACACATATATATATATGTATGTAGGACCTTTTGGGTTTATTTGGGTATAGCCTCTTCGCTCATATATAATAATACTCAATTATTAAGTCGACAATCATTTTTTCAAAATTTTCAAATTTTTC